AGAGAGAGAGAGAGAGAGAGAGAGAGAGAGAGAAGAGAGAGAGAGAGAGAGAAAAGAGAAGAGGCTTTAATTCCGCGTCAGACGCGATATCAAATGCGACAAATGCGATGCATCCAATGTTAATTTTCTCGGCGGTGACGCGTACAGGATCGAATTGAATAAACAAAACTGCAAAACTCTTTGCTCATTATCCTAAAATTAAACAATTCTAAATTATCATTATTATTCTGTTATATGTAAAATTAGCTATTATTTTAATTTAAGCTATTATAATCAAATCATAGAGTTCTCTTCTCATTAAATCGTCCCCATTAAATCGTAGATTATCGAGGTACAATAGTGTAAAGAATAACTGGAACAAGCCAAGTTTGAAGCGCCAAGTCACAACACATCGATAATTTCTACAATCTTATATATAATTTAATCTGAAAAGAAAACGGGAAAAAGGTACCCCTATGATGCAATTAAGATAGAATGCTATTTTGAGACAAGAACCGATATCGAATAATCGAGGATCAGCTATAGTGCTTCAGACCTACTGTGCTCCATGCACCACGTGCGATACTTATAAAACAAATACAGCTGAGAATAGTCGTCCTAGAATAAGCCTCACTCATCAGATCCGCGCAACGAGATAATTTTCTCCGCGGGTTAGGCGCAAATCGTAAAGTAATTGTACCAAAAGCGAGAAGCGGGCGAAGAAGCGGAGAATCGCGCATTGAACGTTAACGCCACGCGCGCAAATACGAACCATTATCCCCGTACGTAATTGCACTGCACTTCGCTCGCATGCAGCCTCCTCTCCTTCCCATTACAGCGTCGCCATAATATCGCCTGGTGCAGCATCCACAGTTTCACACAGGGCGAACGCAACGAACGGTGCGCCGAGCCGCTGCCGTCGCCGCCGTCTCCCCGAGATTTTACGTACGTCTTACGCGCCGTTCTCTTATCGAGAGGAAGAAGATCCGACACGTCACTCCGTGAGAATGCGAGACGCCTTCCCTTCCCCCGACTCGATTCCGGCGTCTGAAGAAATTACTAACTTTCCGCGCGCGTTCCCGTTCCGCAAATTAAATCAAACGTTTTCGCAAAATGTCAAATTTAACGTTAATTAACGAGCGTTGCTGCTGCTGCTACTCGCCGAGACTCGCTGAGCGGAACGAAGCGCGGGCGAGAGTCGAGACGACTGAGCCACTCGCCTCGGGAGCGATTGCGATCGCCTGGCTTCGTGATCCCTAATCCGCCGCCAGTCACGCGCGAACGAAACGGTCGGAAATGCAGATAAGCCGAAGCGGCGGCAAGTCGACGTATCTCAGAGGCCGCGGCGATGCGTCACGTCTATCGATTTGTGATTAAGCATTCGTAC